CAGCCGATAATTCATGGACTGATTGAAATGCCTCTGGACACTTATCAATGGAACTAAAGAGCTCTGTAACAGGGCGGAGGCTGGGCTGGCCCAAGAGGCTCAAGAGGCCCAAAGAAGGGGCTGAAGAGCTGATGGCCAAGGAGAGGCCGCGGGCCAGGGAGAGGCCTGCCTGTGGGTATGGCTCAAAGAGGCTGTCTTGACCCAAGAACTGTGTCCTGGGTCTTTCTTGTCCTGAATTGTAACCTGTTACTTCCCTAATAAACCCCATAATCATGAGTGTGGTCTGTAAATTTTGCATGGTAGTGCAACAAATTATTGAGCGCAGCAGAGAAGTAGTGTTGTGGGATGGATGGATGGTGTTGGAATTAATGAAAAGGTTGGAGGGTGGAGGCATTCTGACTTCTGCCTCATAGGAATCAGGCCCAGGCTGTTGATCTGATTCCTTGAGGCCAGGACTGAGACCTGTTTATTTTCTGTGAAAATAATTTGGCCCTTGCCTAGTCGGCAGTCTTTACCCCTTCTCTCCTAGGGATCTTGGCTTGTGGAATGGATGAATTGCTAAGAAATTTGACATAACCAAAACATTTGTCATCTTTTACGGTACTTGAGAAAGCAGCATAAAAATAGGGGTGGAACTATGGACATTCATAAATTGGGGCAAAATTGATTTCTTTACGCTTCCCTTTTTCCACTTTGCCACCAGTTAAGCCAAGAACAACTCCCTGTGGGCTCAGCTATGGGCGAGACAAGCCAGGCTGTGAAACATTTCCTCTTGAGAGGAAGCTGGCTGTTATAAGCAGCTGTGTTCTCTGCCATTAGATCTTTGTTCGTTCATTTATTTTATAAACAATGATTGAGCTCATGGTTGGGCCCTATATGGATTAGTTACCATCAAGTTGATTCTGATTCACAGTGACTGGATATCGTAGAGTTTCAAAAGTAAAAAAAGAAAATGAACAAGACCTGGTGTCCTGTCAGGAGCTGCAGATATAGTGGGAGGGGTCCAGCAGGCAGATATAAATAAAATGCACTTTGTGGTAAATGTTAAGTAAACCCAGAAGAAGCAGGGTGGAGGCTAGGAGTTAGCCAATGGAGATCTGTATGTATAAATGCAGTGAGGTGCGCTATAGAACAGCATATTAGGGATCTCTTAAGTGTTCTGAGCCACTGGAATATGTGGGGAAATGCAGTGGCAGAAAATGAGTAAAAAGAAGTAGGCAAGGACCAGGTTACAAAGAAGACCATATTGAGAAGTTGGATCATAGATCCTGTCAGAGTGTTTTAATAGGGGAAGACATGACATGATAATATTTGGTTTTATGTGACATGGCACTGTTGCTGTGGTGTGTGGAAGGAATTTGAGAGGGAGGAATTGGCAACTGGGAAAGTGGCATGGAGTCTATTTGTATTTATCCAGAGAATGAGAACATGAATGGAAGTAATGGGGGATGGATTTCAGGGCTATTTCTGAGGTCAGGGAGTCTCTGGGTGCTGCAAATATTTAACTCTATGCTTGCCAGTCTTAGGACAAAGACAAAATGTTATCAGGTGTCCTGGGACCCTGAGCAAGAGCTCTTGCTTCTACTGACAAAGAATTGAACAGGAGAGGCAAAATGTATACAGGAACCAAAGTTCATTAAAGAGAAAGGAGAGTGGAGGGGCTTTCACCTACATGAGCCTCCAATCTCTCACCAAAAAATGGATTTCCTAGGGTCTATATCCAGAAGGCTGGCGGTTCAAACCCACCAGCCACTCCTCGGAAGGAAGATGAGGCAATCTACTTCTGTAGTGATACTGCCTCAGAAACCCAAGGAGGGGTCGCTATGCATCTTGGGGCCAACTCTAGGACTCACACACACATCAGCAACAACAACAGGGTCTATATAGGGTTTTAGGTGGGGCATCATCTTTATCATAAAATGGGCAGGAATTTCCAGGAAAAAGGTGGGGTTATGAAAATCAGGTGTATGTACAGGAACTAGCCAAGATGGGTTCCATTACAAAGGCTATTGGAAAAAAGATGGAGCCTGTCGGGAATGCAGCTGGGACGCTTGACATGACTTATTCTGGGATGCTGCACATGCGTGATGTCTTTGGACCTTGGTTTGAATCCCAGTGAGGGACACTCCCTTTTTTTTTTTAATGTTTACCTGCATTTTATTGACTATGCAAAGGCATTTGACTGTGGATTATAACAAATTATGGATAAGATTGCAAAGAATGGGAATTCCAGAACACTTCTTTGTGTTCATGTGCAACTTGTACATAGACCAAAGGCAGTCATTCAAATTAAAATAAATAAGGTAGGAGTTCTGGTGGTGCAGTGGTTAAGGCATTGGGTTGTTAATCAAAAAGTGAGCAGTTCAAATCTACCAGCTGCTCTGCGAGAGAATGATGAGGCAGTGTGCTTCTGTAAAGATTTATAGCTTTGGAAACCCTACGGGGCAGTTCTGATGTATCCTATAGGGTCGTAAGAATTGGAATTGACTTGATGACAGTGGGCTTTTGGGTGTGTCAGGGTTGTATCCTTTCACCATACTTCTTCAATCTATGTGCTGAGCAAATAATCCTAAAGCTGGACTATGTGAAGAAGAACGTGGCATCAAGATTGGAGAACTACTCATTAACAATCTATGATACGCATATGATACTGCTTGCTGAAAGTGAAGAGGACTTGAAGCACTTACTGATGAAGATCAGATATTACAGCCTTCGGTATGGATTATACCTCCTTTGAGTCTTCTCTGCCATGGTATGGCTCTGGTCTCCTGTTCTTGACTGCCTCTGGTGGAATGTCATTTCATCTGGTCACTTTGAATTTGACTGGGCATGCTCTGCACCTGGTGAAGAACTTGAAGGACAGCTCAGGATTATCAGCATTTTACAACTGGTTAAGCTTGTGGAGCTTTTGAAATGTAGTTTCTTATCTTGCCTTAAGGTCCTGGCTTGTTAATCACGAGCAGTTCTCTGTTGCCAGCAGCAGTAGTCACATGGTGGTCTGCCACTTAACTATTCCACCAATACTGAGTCAGAGGCTGCTTGATTCAGCCAGCCCTACCTGACTACTAACCAGAAGGCTAGCAGTTCAAACCCACCAGCTATTCCTCGGAAGGAAGATTGGGCAATCTACTGCTGTAGAGGCACTGCCCTGGAAACCCGAGGAGGGGTCACTATGAGTTGAATTGATGGCAGTGAGTTTTTTTCTTTTTTCTTTTACCCGTCTGAAAAAACAAAGGCAATCATCCAGGATGAGGGAAACCATCAGCATGTACAGAATACAGAATGGAGTCCACTGAGTCACAGCCATGGGGCTAATTATGTTGTTGTTGTTGTTATGTGCCGTCGAGTCAAACCCGACTCATAGCGACCCCTCCTTGGGTTTCCGAGGCAGTATCACTACGGAAGTAGGATTGCCCAACCTTCCTTCCGAGGAGTGGCTGGTGGGTTTGAACCGCCAGCCGTCTGGTTAGCAGGCAAGTGTCTTAGCCACTATGCTACCAGAGCTCCCGGGGCTAATTATATGATTGGGAAAAAAGGAAATAATCCTAAAACAGTGATTGATGGCAGGTCAATTCATTACTATTGTCGGTGGAACTACAGATGTGGGGAAAGGACCATGATTTGGTTACATACATAATTGAAGACTAAAAAGGGTTACAGGATTGGTTTTGGGTTTAACCACGTGGCTGCACAGTGGTCCAGATATGACTCATGACCATGCAGCCTGAGTCATAGCGACAAAGTGGCTGCAAGACAACACCAGGACCCAAAACTTAATTTGAATAGATAAAGACAAACCCAGGCAAGTTCCCTAGTACTTGTGCGTCATCTACTTTCAACCACATTCTTCCTTAGGGCAAACCGATCATCCCCAGGTTTGTTGTAGAATTTGTCTATGTGTAGCCACAATGTTGGTTTAAAGGTCTGAAAGAACTCAAATGAAACTTATATCAAACCTCAAAACGGAGTTAGGGCTCCCACTGTAGACCACAGTCTTCTACAAACCAAGTGCTTTAGAATTTAAGCTCTAATACAAGGTTCAAGCCCACCCAGTGGCACCTTGGAAGAAACCAAACCAAACCAAATGAAAAAACTAAACTCACTTCCACTGATTCTGACTCATAGCAACCCCTCCTTGGGTTTCCCAGGCAGTATCTCTACAAAAGTAGATTGCCCACTCTTCCTTCCGAGGAGTGGCTAGTGGGTTTAAGCTGCTACCCTCTGGTTAGCAGTCAAATGCCTTAGGCACTACCCCATTAGAGCTCCCACCCTTGGAAGAAAGGCCTGGTGACACACCTGTGCAAACTCAGCCATTGGACAGTTCTACTCTGATACTCATCATGTCACCATTACTTGGGTCAACTTGATGGCAAGTGGGTTACTGGTTTTGAGATAGAATCAGTAGAATTTTGTCCCTGGAACTTGGAATGACAGCGTACTGTGCCTCAGGTAAAGGAATTATCTCAGAGAATTCAATTGAACTAAACTGCTTGGGCAGCGTGGGGCAAGGAGAAGGACTGAAATACTGGGGCTGTGCTTCAAGACAAAATACAAAAGATTTTAGATTGCAAACGTTTTCCCTTCTAGGCGCGCTAGGTTACCTTCTAGAAAAAAACGTCCCAATACCCTTTAGAATCACCATACCCCTTCTGTTTGCTAGACTTTAGGTGTCTAGTACTTCTGCCACACTCAACATGGCTGCATCCCATTTAGGGTTTTCAATACACGTTCTGTGTGGCCCCACCTCCTGAAAGGAGTTACTTCCGCCACTCTCTGCGGGACAGGACCCATTTTCCATGGTCTTGCCCCACTCAAGATGGCCAGGCTTCCTCCTACTTTTCATTGGCTGGGTCTCCCTGGTCTTCCGTCTTCATAGGTGGGCTTAGATTTGATCGACAGCTATGTTGGTCAATGAACGGAGAGCAGAGGCCAACGAAGCGCTGGAACTGGAGTGCCTCCTCAGTGTTTGGGAGGGTTTTTTGGCTGGGGCGGGGTGGAGCAGAGCCGGAAGCGGGAGGGGAGAGTGAAACAGGAAAAGACGGGAAGAAGGAAGAAGAGGGAAGAGGAGGAGAGGGAGGAGGAGGAGGGTGGCGGCGGCGCCGTGGCGGAGGAGCAGGAGCAGGAGGGGGATGGAGAGGAGAAGGCTCCTGGGTGGTATGGCGCTCCTGCTCCTCCAGGCGCTGCCCAGCCCCCTGTCAGCCGGGGCTGAGCCCCCGCAGGTAAGGGGGAGGGGGCGTCCGGGCCAGGCTGGAGGCGTGGGGGTCGTTGAGGACTTGTTAGAGAGGGCCAGAGACGGCGTCGCTGCCTTGCTTGAGGGGTCTGAAGGAACGTTATCGCCAAGAGTGGAGGGGTTCCCAAGCAGGGGGCCCATGCCTGGCGTTGAGGGAATCTGGCGGGGGGGAGCATCGTTATTTGGCTGACGGACATCTGTGACGGTTTTGGTGTCAGAGAATTGCAGAGGCATGGTGCCAAGCGAATGAGGGGCCTTTGCGACGACAGTTAGGCCAGGTGGGCTGGGATGGCAGTGATGCCAGGCTGGGATATATGGGGTGCATTCGTGTCCCCCTGGGGGGCAGGTCTCCACGGCAGCGGTGTCATGTGTGTCTGTGTGTGTAGGGGTGTATAGGGTATTGAGCTTGACTGAGAGGGAAGAATGGCTGAGAGGGTATTTATTTCAAACTGGACAGGGGAAAGTTCTGAGGGCACCTTAGCTCCGTTTGTAATGGGTAAGCCATGGCGTCCTTAGTGGTTATTGGAGGCAGGACTCTTGGAAGGGCAGGTGGGATGTAGACGGGAACCCCTTAGGAGGAAAGGCACAGTAGAACTGTAACAAGCTCTTACTGGTAGGCTGGCTGGCCTGGGAGATCAAGTCACTGATGCTGATCTGGGCCAGCTCAGGGCTTTTGAGTAAAGGGTAGGTAGTGCTGATGCCAGTATGGGGAGCAAATAGAGCACCTAGCTTTTCTTGCTGGGTGGCTGGCTTTTTACCCAGGGAGGGGAGCTTACTTGTGCTGATTCCAGCCCCGACTGGCATTTCGAAACCCTAATGGGAGCATTCCTCCTGGTGCCAAGTTGGGTGGGGTGCAGCAGTGGGAATCACCCCTCCTTCTCTTGCATTTGGCAAGGCTTTACGGTTGTAGTTCCTTCACTTTCTGTTCCCTTCCCTGTCTTTTCAGAAAGGCATACACACATGCACAGCACAGTGGCAGAATCTGTACAGTTTAGTGCTTGAGCGCCAGCAAAAATACCTTCTTCCTAGGAAATTTTGGGCTGCCTTTTCACATATGCATCCTGTTTTGCCCATTAGTATTCTCTCCCTCTATTTTTTTAATGAGGTGAAATCCACGTAATATTAACCATTTTAAAGTGCACAATTCAGTGGCATTTAGTCCATTCACAATGTTGTACAACCACACCTCTATCTAATTCTAGACAGTTTCATCACCCCCCCAAACAAAACAAAAGCCGTGCCCATTAAACAGTTACTCTCCATTTCCACCTATCCACCCCAAACCCTGGCAACCGCTAGTCTGCCCTCTGTCTCTATGGATTTACCTGTCTGGATATTTCATATAAATGGAATCCTGTAGTCCTTGGCCTTTTGTGTCATTTTTGAGGCCCATACACATTGTCACGTGTATCAACACTTCATTCCTTTTTCTGGCTGAGTAATATTCCATTCTTTGTATATACTGCAATTTGTTTATCCATTGAAGCAACCTTTATTTGTTTCCTCAGAATAAATGTATATTAGAAATAACGTGTCGAAAGAAGAGAGCCCGTTTTTGGGCCCCTTGGGTTCCCTTTCCTAGGGCTGCGATCCTTCAGTTTTAGGTTTTGTTGAGGTTGTTTGTTTTCCCGGGTAAAATCTTAAACTCGAAGGAGAAATAGGTTTGGTAGTGCAGTGGTTGAAGCATTTGGCTGCAGACTAAAAGTCAATAGTGTGAACCGACAAGCTACTCTGTGGGAGAAAGATGAGGCAGTCTGCTTCCCTCAAGATTTATAGCCAGTCTACTCTGTCCTGTAGGGTCACTAAGAGTCAGAATCGACTCAGTGGCGGTAGGTTTGACTTTTTTTGGTTTATCAGAAAAATGATAACCCTCAGGATCAGTAAAGTTAAGAAGTGTGTTGACAGAACAAAATATGGAATAAGAATTGAAACAACCACAGTTGCAGTTGTGACTTGTGATTCCATGTGTCAGAGTAGAACTGTGCTGCATGGAGTTTTCAGTGGCTTGATTTTTTGGAGGTAGATGGACAGACTTTTCTTCTGAGGTGCCTCTGGGTACATTCAAACTTGCTTTTCCTTTGTCTGTCTATTTCTGTATCTATGTCTAAAAGATCCTGGTTCCCAATAACCAGTAAATAACATTACTAGAGGGTTGATGGGGAGCTCTGGTAGCATAGTGGCTAAAGCACTTGACTGCTAACCAGAAGGCTGGTGGTTCAAACCCACCAGCCACTCCTCGGAAGGAAGGTTGGGCAATCCTACTTCCGTAGTGATACTGCCTCGGAAACCCAAGGAGGGCTCGCTATGAGTTGGGGCCCACTGGACGGCACATAACAACAACAGAGGGTTGATGTGGGAATGTGGGCTGAGTTTCCAAAGCAGCTCGGTGGGTGCCCTGGGCCTGTGGACTGCTGCTTGAGGATGGAGAGCTGTGGTGGGGCTCTGAGTTGGTGGTGGGAACCGGGCCTACTTCTGGAGCAGGAGGAATGGGAAATGGAAGTTCTTTCCCGATCATAGAAACCTGGGAGGTGGTGAGAGGATGCAGAAGGCCATCTTCTGTGTCATGTCTTAATTGCAGTTTGGTCAATCACACACTGCTTTCTTATAATTTCTCTGGTGCTTCCAGTACTTATTTTGGGGACAAGGTGGCTTTTGTCCTTTGTTCCAATTGGATAGATACTAGCATCGACCAATGTGGTTGTAGTTCCTGCAAAGAAGGGAAAGTTTTTGTCATGAATAGTCTTCCTCTTTCTGAGCCCCCTACATCCTCTTATCCCCCCACCCTTGATCCCTCCATCTACCTCCCCCCAAATCTCATACCCACCTTTCTTTCTTTAGGATGTACTAGATACCTAAGATGAGGTTTGTGTTTTAAATTGTAACCTTTGGAATGGAAGTTACTATATAATTATTAACTCCAGATCTTACATGACTTAGTCAATTTTCGATTTCTTTTTTTTTTTTTTGGCTTGTAGAAATCAAGCCAAAAAAAGAAAAAAGATCCAGACACTATTTTGAAATAGGATGTACGTAGGTACGCCCTGCTCTTGTTTCAACAAGTGTCTTCCAACTAACTCTGATTGAGAGAGCTTGCTGTCCTCACTCCAGTATCAAAAATGGCATGGGCACTTCAGTGCATTTTTTTTCTTGCAGTAGTCCTATACAACACAATCCTGGCTTACATACACATTTAGCATCAGAAATATATGATATTAGATGGCTTGTTTGTTCTGCTACCAGCTCTGCACTGGAGCAGTCATGTCTTGTCATCCAGGCCCGGGGAAGTTGACCATCCTAGTTCCCTTCTGTGATCAGGATCTTCACATTGACTCTCCTATAGGTGGATGTGGGAGCTCTGGTAGCATAGTGGCTAAGACACTTGCCTGCTAACCAGACGGCTGGCGGTTCAAACCCACCAGCCACTCCTCGGAAGGAAGGTTGGGCAATCCTACTTCCGTAGTGATACTGCCTCGGAAACCCAAGGAGGGGTCGCTATGAGTCGGGTTTGACTCGTCGGCACATAACAACAACAACAAATAGGTGGATGTGACTCACAGATGTGATTTCTTGAATTGGTAAGGAAGAGTCTCCAGAAAGTAAGGCCTTGGCATTTGTCTCTTCCACTTTAATTACGATCGATCGAGATACATCAAGTTTGTTTCTCTTTGTTTAAATTTTACCATAAAAGCTGACTATATTGTTTGTTCTGGTTACCTAGTGCTGCTCTGACAGGAGTATACCACAAATGGGATGACCTTAACAAACAGGAGCTTATTCTTAAAATTTGGAGGCTTTAAGTTCAAAGTCCAAGTTCTAGGGGCTGGGTGAAAGCCCCTCAACCTTGGGGTTCAGCTCTGCCTCTTGCTCCCAGCCCACTGGAGCTAGAGGGATCTCTTCACTCAACTGCTGGCTGCTGAGGCTAACAAGCCCAAGGTCAACAAATAAAATGGCACAGTCCTGATGTTACTAAACCACATGGCAGGGCATTAATTTGACTCCATTGAAAGTCCCAAGGTTGGCAGAGCATGGCAGGCTGCTTGCTGAACAACGACAGGGCTACATGCAGGGCCCAAGCGTGCCACAACCTAGAGACCATTCCCAAGGCTTCTGCTTATATATAGGAAGCAGATCACATCACAAAGGTAGCTACTCAGCTGCTTGTGGTAGATCCCACCATGGAGTTGATTGCCAGTCTCATCATGGGGAATAACTACCACCAGCTGCCCAACCACTCAACCAGGCCCAGCTAGTTGACCCACACATTTAACTACCACAATTGTTTAAAAGAAAGTGTTAGTAAGTTAAAAGAAAACAGTTGCTGTTGAGTGGGAGTGGAGCCTGTGCTCTTAGGGTTTTCAGGGGTCACTCTTTAGGAAGTCGGTCATTGGGCCTTTGTCCCAAGGTACCTGTGGGTGAACGCAGGCCCAGCCTTTCAGTGAGCAGCTGACCACATTAAGCATTTGCATCACCCCAGGACTAAAGTTTCAGTAGAAATGTCTTTTTCCGTAAGATGACACAAATGCCTAGAAACACAGTCCTTAAGTTGCTTTGGCTAAGCTTAAAAACTTTGAGTTGGACAGGGCCCCAGTTTTTTTTCCACCACACCCGTCAATAGAATACCCTTTGCTACCCTTTGTGTTTACTCACCCCTGTGCCACGGTTTTCAGCCCAGAAGCCCTACTCAACTCGTTTCCTTTTTTTTTTTTCTTTCAGTTGAACGAATTAGGTTTATTACTTGTTGTAGGGGATGAGAACTCACACACCATTGGAAACTGAGGAATGTTAGAAAGAACTTAAAGGATTTGGGTGTGTGTTAGGTAATTCTGGGAGACGATTTAAGGAAGTGTGAAAGTCTGTTCTGGATTGGATGCTGTCAAGAAATAGGGTCAGTTCTTTTTTTTTTTTAAATTAATTTATTTAAGGACTCAGTCAATTCTATGGTTGAGTATCTTTCTAAAATTCAATATATTTTGTTGGTGGTGAGCTACT